GACCAGACCAGACTTGGATAGTTATAAAAATACAAAGAAACCAGACCAGACCAGACCAGACCAGTTCAGACCAGACTAGATCAGACCAGAGCAGACCAGCAAATTACAGTCCAAGTAAAAACATCCTAATTGTATTTGTTATTGAAGTTCACCTCAAAAAGGAATTAATATTCTGTTGATTACGTTGTTTATCACTGTGTACTTTTTACTTATTGTGCATTACTAGTAGAAGAATATTATTTTGGGGTTAAACTAACTGCTATTGGATGTGTACTTTGGAGCTATCGAACCATTTTGCTTGACAATTGATACCTATTTTAAACCAATATTTTTGTTATGTTTAAATTTAATGTTGCGCTTGCTTTTTTTTTATATTTGAACATTGAAAATGTTTTTACTTGGACTGTAATTTGCTGGTCTGGTCTGGTCTGAACTGGTCTGGTCTGGTTTCTTTGTATTTTTATAACTATCCAAGTCTAGTTTGGTCTGGTCTGGTCTGATCTGGTCTGGTCTGGTCTGGGACGAATTACAATCCAAGTAAAAACATCTTGAGATATCATGCATTTGTAATGTAGTGGTCATAATTTCATGATTTAAAATTTGATTTTTTTATGTAACCGAAGGTTGAATGTGTTCATTTTAAGAGGATAATAAATTTTTATAAGGAACCGAAAAAAGTAAGAACCGAACCGAATTTAATTAGAACCAAACCGAATTTAACTACTACATTTTTAACTAGAACCGAACCGAATTTAACGCCTATGATTTTTATACGGTTCCATCGAATTTTAACAAGAACCGAACCGAACCGATCCCAGGCCTAGTAATACCTAACGGGCTCATAATTTTGAATAAATTAATTCATTTTTTTATTTTAAATTTCAATTTTTGCTAAACCTAACTAAAATCTAATAGCTTTTAGATTTTTGTAAATAGATAGCTTGTTATGAACATTAATTGATTTTTAAAATGTTAATATTTTAGTGCATGATACTTTTTTTTTATCATCAACTCCAACAAATATATTAACTCAACAAAAAGTTCGTCACATGGCTGATAATACAATCAAAGAAAAAGCAGGAAACAAAACGATAAAAAGTCTTCTGTCTGCTGCTCGCCCTTGAACCAGACTTAGAATCTATCACCTCTGTAGAAGCAATAACATTTGTTGATCCTGCAATGGGCTTAACTGAGCCAATGGGACAGACAAACCAAACTTCTCATCACCTGATTTAAAATCTAGAATCTCTCTGCTGGGAAATAAGAACACGTCCAAAACAACATGCAATTCCAAAGAAAAACACAAACAAAAAAACGGAATTAAAATAGAGTCCACTCATCTTCTTCCAAACCTAGACTCGTTTGCACTCCATGGCGGCGGCTCGGGAGGGGGACGCGCACGTTGCTCATCCATCTCTGTCAAGCCTCCACTTTCGCCACCAATCACAGATGACATTGAATCCAGATCTGTTCCAGCTTTTAACCCCAAGCTCCATCCATAACCTTCACTCGATGATGTCATCCTTTCACTATTGCTGATTGTGTTCCTTAATTATGAAGTCGGACGAAGGGAAGAAAATGAGCAAGACCAGCGAGCATCAATCGGCAATCATCTGCCCAAGCAGCACGGCGGCTAGGTCTACACCGAACCCCAAAATTTGCTTCTTCCGTGCCAGGATACAACAGAAAGAACAAGCAAACCGGTGTCGTGATCAGATCGATCACCACCGGACAATCCAAGCTAAGCGTTGCCTAGCGGCAACCCTAGAGTTCGTAAATGTAAAACAAATGTCGGCCTTTCATCTGAGAGATCTTTAGAACTCCTTATCAGAAAAATCTTGGGAAAAATAGTGCATGATACTTTATAAATGCTAATATATTTTTAATTACAAATGATGATTTTCTTGTATAATACGCTTTTGTTAGTTTAGGACGTCCCAAACCATTATGAATTATCCTAGTCCCGATTTAAATAGGATAGCACTAGAACAAAGGCTTGTTCGGTACAATCTTGTACCACTATTGCTAATTGGGTTGAGACCGAGATCACTCTAATCCTGAACCGTGCCGACCCGAGATAACTAAGTGAAAAATTAAGTGATTTGTATTAGTTCTCACACAGTTGTCTATTATCATACTTCCTCCTTATTTTATAGTTTGCTACACTTTCTTTTTTGGATGTATTTAAAAGTTTGCTACACTTTTCCTTTTTGATAATAAACTTTTCTCTTAAAAACTTTCCATTACCCTTACTTTTTCTACTTTTTATATTCTCTTTCATACTTTTCCACATTGCCTCCTATTTTTTCTAAATTACTCCCTCCGTTCCCAAAAATACTTCCCACTTTTCTTTTTGGGTTGTTCCCAAAAATACTTCCCACTTTCCCATTTTGGACAATTTGTGTGGCTCACATTCATTTTACCTTTTTCTTACACAATCACAACCATACATTTCCACTTTATTCCACTTTCTTAATAAGCGTGCCAAGTCAAACCGGGAAGAATTTTTAGGAACGGAGGGAGTATTCATTACCTCTACTATTTCACCCTTAAATGGTATGTGGTGTGCCTGAACTTATTATAGAGAAATTTCAAATACTGCGGGAGTATTAGATTGCAATATGTTTGGTGGAATGATGTCATGGAGCAAATATCACGAGCTCAAGCTAAATTTAGCTATGTACCTGGTTTGAGAAATTTCTAAGAAAGTTATTTGTACTTTCTAAGAGAGGTATATGAAATCTCTTTCACATCTATTTGTACCTTAGAGATAGAATTTTCAGCAAGTATTCTTGAGACCCGTTCAAAAACTGTACGTTTGAGAGAGTTATCGAAATTATTTAAGAAATTAGCTTGAATATGAGTAAACACAATGTAAAATTCTAAATTAGAAGTGTTTTGTTTTTTCGGTAAATAAAAATAATTAATGTCATACTTGGAAAATACTGTCAAACATTAATACTATCATATGAATATCATGCTTTGAAAATATTGTCAAGCATTAAGACTATCATATTAATGTCTGGTATGTTAAAATTCGACAATATTATTTCAGGACGACAATAATGTCGCTCCTATTCAAAGAAAAAAAACATAGTACTCCTATTCTTGAATTTCACATTGTTTTTAGTCGGTATTTTTGAATCGGAAGAGTTGTTATGCGATAAGAACCCATTTGATAACCTTGAAATCGGATGAATTGGGTGATTTTGTTAGATTTATGAAATTTTGGCTGTATTGACTGATTCTGCTAATTTATGAAAAATTATATTTAAAATATATTTTATTAATTAAACAAAAAAAATACATGAAAAATAGCTAAAACGATCATCTATAGTAACTTTCCCTTCCCCCTATTTCATTCAACCAAATACACTCAAATCTCTCACTTCCTTCCCCTCTCCTCCCTTCCGAAACCCTTCAACCAAACAGGGCCTAAAGGTATGCTTTTAAATACTCCCTCCGTCCCTAATAACTTTGTCATGCTTGACCGACACGTAGATTAATAAAGTAAAAACTGTGTGGTTGAGGTTTCTGCAGAGAAGAGAGAGTTAACTGGAACCACAAATTCTTTACTTAAAGGGAAAGTGGCAAAGTTAGTGAGACATCCAAAAAGGAAAATTGGCAAAGTTATAAGGGATGGAGGGAGTACAAGAGAAGTTACTTATCAGTTTGAGATCAGGAGTTACTTATCAGTTTGAGATCAGTTCTTTATAGCTAATCGTAAAAGTTATTTTATGTTTTCTATGCAAATTCTTTATTTTGACTACTCCCTCCGTCTCTTAAAACTTTGTCAAGTTTGACCGGCACGGGGATTAATAAAGTAAAAACTGTGTGATTGAGATTTTTGCAGAGGAGTGAGAATTAATTGAAAACACAAATTCTTTACTTAAATGAAAAAGTGGCAAAATTAGCTAGACATCCAAAAAAAGAAGTTTGGATGGAGGTATTTCATTATTAGAAATTAGTTCAAATAGGACTAAAACTATGGCAAAAACCTAAAATAGGACTTGCTATGTTTTTATTCCAAAATAGGACCATATGAGTCCTATTGGAAACATACCTATTTTTGCATTTCATTCTTACCCTTCCATTAAATATGAATTAAAAATAGTCAAAAGCCATAATTAAATGTTTAATTCATAATAAATTCGAAAAAAATCAAAAATTCGTAGAAATATAATTAAAAAATTTATAAAATTTTTATAAAATAAAAAATTCAAAAACTTTTTTTTAAAATAATTTTATTTTTAAAAAAATTAATAAAAAAAAGTAAAACTCTGTAAAAAAAAAATTTAAAAAATATGGATGCCTTTCTCACCGCATGTACTACCTCCTAGCACCACCACCTCCGGCCGGTGAAAAAAATGCCATTTTCCCAGAAAAATGCCATTTTTTTTTCTGAAAATGCCAAAAAAGTGGCATATTTCTCTTTTCGAATACCAACATTTTCATTTTTTCTGCCATAAATATGGCATTCGTAATGAACTTGGCATTTTTTTCCCCTGGTGACTGGAGGTGGTGGTGCTGAGGCGGAAGAGGCGGTGGCGATTTTTTTTTTGAGTTTTTATTTTTTTTTTATTTTTTTTAATTTTTTGAAAAAATAAAATTAAATTTGTAATATTGAAATGTTTTTCTTAATTTTTTAGTATTTTTTACAAATTATTATTATTATTTATTATTTTATAAGGAATTAACACATTTTAATAGCTATAAGGGTATAATTGTCCAAGGTACACATAATTAGTCCTATGCAAACATTGTTTATTTTTTGGTCCTATTTGTGAAAAGTGAATGACTTTTAGTCCTATTTTGATAATTAACTCTTTCATTATTGCAGTGTGGCATACGAGAAGACTTTTTCCCCAGTTTCTCGCTCAATCTCTGGCAATCTGTTCACATCTTTTCTTTTTAAGATGTCCCAAAAAAACTTTATCACTTTTCCTTTTAATCAATTATTTTTGCAATCAACTTTGTAAAAGTTTTTCTAAGGGAGGGAGGTAGTATTATCGACCATCTTGGTGGTGAATAATGAACTGTTAGAAGTATCAACGCAGATGAACTGTTAGATATATGGTTTCGATTTTGACCGAATGAAATGGATTTACTTACTGATTTTTAGTGGGGGGTGTAATATTTCTGTTGTTTATTTTGTACCCCTTCTATAGTGCAGTTAAAATTGATATTTTTACTTCTGCAATTCGGCAATTCCAATTCTGTCTATTGTATTGCTTTGCAGTGAATTCGCCATCGCCTATCACCATCTGACTTAGTTCAACTTTCTCAGTCTCCCTTATGCGTACTGCCTCTTTAGTCAACTATTGTGGATTTCGGTTTCTTCGAAGCTGCATCACCGGTCTTCTTCAGTCCAGCTTTCGCATATTAACTTTAATGGATTCATGCAAAAACCCAACCTCTTCTTTGTATGTGTTTGCACCTTCAAAGCACAAGTATCTTTAAGATATTTTGAATTACACCCCCCGGTTGTGGTGTAGTTGTCAGTTTTTTTATGTTAATTGATTTGCATGTTGTTGTTGTTTTGTTGTTGTGATTTGAATTACAATAGCCACGGTAGAGGGAGAGGATTTAATGCAATGGGTGACAGTGAAAGGTCAAGCAGTCTTGGTGGTGGCTCTGGAAAAGATAAAATTGATGCTCTTGGTCGATTACTGTATGTTCAATCCTTGGTAACTTTTTTTTGTTATGTTACGTATTTCTCTGGAAATGCATTTGCGATGTCCTTGATTTACTTTTATGCTGTCCACAGCTAGTTTTGTCCTTAATGATGATACAGTGAGGTAATCACCTTTTACAAAGGAAAAATGCCCCCTAAATAATAATAATAATAATAAATAAAAAGGGGCAGCCCGGTGCACATTGGCTTTCCTGCATGGTGAGGGTCTGGGGAAGGGTCCACCGCAAGGGTGTATAAGGATAAAGCCTTCCCTTGTCATTTTTTACAAGTGGCCGCTCTCATAGTGTTATTCGTTTTGTTCAGCATACAGTTTAGACCATTTCTGAAGTGGACAATGGTGTGGAACTGTCAGTTATATTCCACGTTAGGTGTGGTGAAGGTAGGTGAAAGACTCGTAAAGAAAAATGTATGGCTGTAAGGCTGTTTATGCTTCACAGGTTGTTCCGCAATAGCTTTGCACTGGTGATCTTTGTCAAGATTGTTATTACTGCCATTATAAGATAAGCATTGGAAGTTGATAACTTGACAAAGATCACTACGCCTGAATACATTCAAATTCCTTGTTCTAAGTCACCTATGTATTTGCTAATGAAAACAAGTGGGTGTGAAAACATTTTTTTGTGGCAATAACCCCAGAGCTCGAATTCTTCGTCACATGGCTTCAGAGCTAAATTTGAATATGAGGAGCGATGGGTTTGTCAAGGTCCAAGATCTATTGAAACTACATCTAAAAACATTTGCCAATATTCCATTGAGGTTGCACACAGTTGATGATATCAAAGGGGTTAGTTCTCAGCTAAGACCTTCTCCCTTTAGTGTTATCCAATGCTTCTATGTTAAATCCATGTACACCCATGCAAATTCTTGATTTTGTTGTCAACAACTTCTGTCAGGCATTCATTTTTTTGCATTTTAATATTTCCCCATTCACTTTATGTTAAAGTACAGGATACGGTAATACCAAGTTTTAGCAACATTATGGTTTCCCTAGGCCTAGGTTTCCAATTTCTGGTGGGTTTAAGCTCATTATTTTCCTTTGTAAGCATTGCAAGTGTCAGGAAATTATATTATAGTTGCCAGTTTAAAGTCGTATAATTAAAAGTTGTAATTTATTATTCAACATGGTATTATGGCCTTCGTGCTAAATATTTCACTAAAGTATAACCAGTTTTTTCGGCTGTGGACTGCTACATTCCGTAAGTTCAAAACATATCCTTCCATTTTTGTATGAAATCGACCATGACACCAGGTCTCTCAGAATGACCATGTTACCCAATGTTCAATAGTCTATTCTAACGCCACACATGCCTCCATTTTTTTCCTTAGCTTTGGCAGACCGTGATCACTGATTCACAGGCCTCATGTACCGTCTTGGGTTACCAATCCGGAGGGCCTCATGTAAATTTTTCATACATAATGTTCTATTAACTTTGATTAGTCCTGATTTTCATGGCTCCCATGGTAGACAAGAAGCCATCAAAGATGGCCACCTAAGAGAACTTGATAGGGGAAAAGAAGACTGGGGGTTTTATTTTTTCATAAAAGAAGGCAAGGATGCAAAAAAAAGACGATGTCAAGAATGTTCTATTAACTTTAATTAGTCTTGATTTTCATTGCTCCCATGGTAGACAAGAAGCCATCAAAGATGGCCACCTAAGAGAACTTGATAGGGGAAAACAAGACTGGGGGTTTTATTTTTTCATAAAAGAAGGCAAGGATGCAAAAAAAAGACGATGTCAAGAATGTACCCAACCAAAGTTAAGTCAAGTCAAATGTGAACGTGAATTAAAGTCGTTCAAGTTCTAGTTTAGGATGTTTGACCGATCAATCTCACTTGAAGTTCAATTTCAAGTTTAATTTTTGAAGTTTCGTTTCAGAGAGGTTGAAGTTTCAAAGTTGAGTTCTAAGTTTTTAGTTTCTAGTCAAATTCAGGTTTCAATTTTTGTTATCAAGTTAAGTTTAATGTTTTGTAGATGCGCTAGTGAGTCCTTGTTTGAGAAATATAGGGTCTGTCATTGTCATTAGGTTTAGTTTCCAGTTGGGTTTAGGCCCACTATTTATGATTTATTTACTTATCTCTAATATCAATTTAATTGTCTTTAGCAGATGCAAGGTTAATCTAAGTTAAAAGTAATATTAATCGAAATTGTAGACTGTATTTGAAATATCAGAATTACCATTGTTCTAGCTTGAACAGTTTATGACACCCCCGTCTCATGTACTGCATCTTTTGGTCTTTCCCTCATAGGATTAGGTTACTTGTTGGTGGTATTACTAAACTGTTAATCAAGGTGATGGTTTTAATTTTGCAAAACAATGTTACACTTCTTGCTCCTTAAATATCTCAGGCAGTCAGAAAAGATAACAAACAAAGGTTTAGCTTGTTAGAAGAAAGTGGAGAGCTTTGGGTACGTGCAAACCAAGGGCACTCGATAGAGGTAATCCATTGTTCACCAATGTTATGTACTCCCCCGGACAAAAAAATTGAGTATTCTTTGATTAGCCATTTAACCGGAACTATTTTTTCATTTAATTTTCTATAGAAGAGTAATAGAGTGATGCATAATTTAAGGGATTGTACACCCAAAGCTCTCCACCTTTGTTTGAGATAACAAACAAAAGTATAAGTGCTTTTCAGCTTTTGGCTTAAAATGCTGAAATGAGTGTTTCCAAGCGACAAGTGACAACTTTTGCTTAAACTAAGCACTTAAAAGGTAAAAGTTGAAGCAGGTGGAGGGATGCTTGAACTCTTTTTACTTTCCCTAGTACACAAAAAGCACATTTTTTACCAGCTTTCAATCTGCCTTCCGGGTGCTCAGATGCCTAAGTTCTCCTATTTGTACCCTTTTCCTCAAACACTATTAACTTTTACTATCAACCACTTCCTCTAATCACTTTTACAAATTACTTTTATAAAGTGGGAACAATCGCAAACACTCCCTAAATATGATAACTTGGGTAGTGTAGTTAAGGATAAACTTCAAATATACAGAGGGTCAGTGACTTAGAACACTTTTCACATCAAAGTTTAAATTGTACCTTGGTCAAACAGGACTTTGTTTTTTGTGTTTGGGGGTAGTTCCTGACGTATAAGCTGTCTTCATTGTGCGGTATCTATTCCCTCTACCAGAAAATGAACATTAAATAAGATCACAGCATTGAAAGTACTGATGCATAGTGCTTACTACTCACAGTGTTGCTTGCTCATTCTTTTTGTATAAATTCATTTTTGTTCCATTGAATATATAATAATGATGGTGGGGGTGCAGCTTATTGGCAGTATGTAATATGCAATTTCAGTTCGCCCAATGCATTCAAATACATGCTTTATTCTAGTGAGGAATCTGATCTAGTTGTTTCTCTTTCTCTTTCTGGGAATGGCATGGATAGATGGTTGAAACAGAAAGCTTATTGAAACCAATCATTTCAGCTGAAGAAGTGCCAGGTAAAGATATGATGGGCACCTGCTTTGAACATTCTCGCTCTCGTATGTTGTATGGTTGTAGTAGTAGTACATCTTTCTTATGTTGTTTGTTTAATGTGCAGTTTGTGTGCATGGGGCCTACAAGAAGGATTTGCAATCGATTTTAGATCAAGGTCTCAAACGCATGAGAAGATTACATGTACACTTCTCATGTGGCTTACCAACCGATGGTGGTGTAATTAGTGGTAAGATAATGAAATATTTAAAACTATGTATGGGTTGGAAATGACAATTGATAACTTCATTACAACAACAACAACAACAACAACATCCAAGCCTTAGTCCCAAAAGATATTGGGGTCGGCTAACATGAATCGATACATGATATCACAACCAAAAGGGAAAGAAGGAATAAAGATAAAAAGATAAGCTATCATGAAAAGATAATATAAAAAAGATGAATATATATAAAAATGATAAAATAAAAAGGCTGCAAATAATGCATATATATAAGGATAAAAAAAACTAGGAAAAAAAAGATGAGGGAAAAAGATTATCAAGATCACCCCTTCTCGTGAATACTCGTCCTCCACTTAGTTCTCTCCAAAGTCATGCCCTCATCCAACCCCAGAAGAAGCATATCACTTCGAACTCCCCTAACCCACGTCTGTTTGGGTCTTCCTCTCCCTCTCTTCCCTGCCTCTTCTCCACACATCTCAACTCGCCTAACAGGTGCATCACTCGGTCTTCTACGCACATGACCAAACCACCGTAGGCGCGACTCCCGCATCTTGTCTTCAATAGGTTCTACTCCCACCCTTTGTCTGATTGTCTCATTCCTCACGCGGTCCTTCTAGTATGCTCACACATCCAACGTAGCATGCGCATCTCTGCCACACTCATCTTTTGAATGTGACATTGTTTCACCGCCCAACACTCTACGCCATACAGTAATGCAGGCCTAATTGTTGTCCTATAAAATTTACCCTTCAGTCTAGTCGGCATACCTCGGTCGCATAGAAATCCTGACGCACTCTTCCACTTCATCCACCCTGTTCTGATTCTATGGGATACATCTCCATCTAACTCACCGTCCTTCTGAATTATGGAGCCCAAGTAACGGAACATATCGCTGACTGGTATCTCCTTACCATCCAGAGTAATTTCGCTATTACCACTACTTCTACCTCCACCAAACTTGCACTCCATGTACTCTGTCTTGCTCCGACTTAGTTTGAAACCCTTATTCTCCAATGTTTGTCGCCATACTTTCAACTTTGCTTTAAGACCTGATTGCGTCTCATCAATCAATACAATATCGTCGGCAAACATCATGCACCACGGTATATCGTCTTGAATTGACTTCGTAAGTTCATCCATGACTATGGCAAATAAGAAAGGACTCAAGGCCGATCCTTGGTGCACTCCGATAGTAATAGGGAACTCTTCAGTCCTCCCTACACTAGTACGAACACTTGTAGTACAATCCTCATACATATCCATGATGATGCTGATATACTTGCGTGATATGCCTTTCCTAGTTAAGGCCCACCAAAAAACTTCTCGAGGTACCCTATCATATGCCTTTTCTAAGTCAATGAACACCAAATGAGATCCTTATGAGCATCTCTATACTTCTCCATAAGTTGACGAAGAAGGTGAATAGCCTCAGTTGTTGAGCGACCAGGCATAAAACCGAATTGATTCTCTGAAATCTTCACAGTCCTTCGAAGTCTTTGCTCAATCACTCGCTCCCAAAGTTTCATGGTGTGACTCATAAGCTTAATCCCTCGATAGTTGGCACATTCTTGTACATCACCTTTATTCTTAAATAAAGGGATAAGAGTACTCTTCCTCCAACTCGTTGGCATCTTGTTGTTTCTCCAAATCATGTTGAAGAAACTTGTTAACCACTCGACGCCTCTCTCTCCCAAACTTCTCCAAGCCTCGATCGGTATGCCATCTGGCCCCATTGCTCTTTTCCGTCCCATCTTCCTCAGAGCTTCTTTAACTTCCGTTGTTTGGATCCTTCTCACAAAATCACGGTTTACCATACAATCTGGTATGGACAAATCGCCGATATCTTGCGTTTTGTTCCCGTTGAATAGTGTATCAAAGTATGACCTACACCTCTCTTTTATCTCTCCGTCGTCCATTAATATCCTCTGATCAACATCTTTCACACACTTAACTTTTGCAATATCTTGAGTTCTGCGATCACGAAGACGAGCAAGTCTATAAATATCTAGTTCTCCTTCCTTAGAGTCCAACTTTTCATACAACTACTTGTTCACTTTCCCTCGTGCTTCCCTTACGGCTTTCTTTGCTTGTCTTTTAGCCTCCCTGTATGCTTCTATGTTCTCATCACTCCAATTTGTCCCCAACTTTTTGTAGCAATCTCTTTTGTTCCTTATGGCTTGTTTCACCTCATCATTCCACCAAGATGTGTCCTTTTTAGGTGGCCGACATCCTTTAGATTCTCCAAGTACCTCCTTTGCCACTTTGTTAATGGTCAACTTCATTGATAACCACACATCATCCACCCGTGTTTCATTATCAATACGCCATACATCTTCACCGACCATTTTGTGTGTAAAGCTTTGTTGAAGATCTCCCTCTAGCTTCCACCACTTTATCTTTGGCTCCAATTGATAACTTCATTAGGAATAAAAAAAATCTTAAAAGGTTAAATGATCAAGTTCCCAATAGAGGTCGAAATTGCTGTTGGAGTGAAGACATTGGTTAATGAATAGTACATGACAGAATAATACATACAGGTTGCTCTTCTTATTGGTTCAACATGTTTGTCTGATTTGCAGGGATGAGGCGAGATGTCAATATGCTCATCTTTCTGGATGTCAAAAAAGCATTGGAAGGTAATTAATTTGAAAACTAGAAGCAATCAAGTATAGGCGACTTGGGCGATCCCTTTGAATCATCATCTAATGTCCCATGATTATTTCTCTCGTTTTACTTCAGAAGGAATGAAGCTTTACATCTCTGAAAACAAAGTCATCTTGACTGAAGGTTTTGATGGAGTAGTGCCGGTGAAGTATTTTCAGAAAATAGAATCATGGCCAGACAGAGAATCGATCTCATTTCGTGCCTTTTAGTCTTTGATGATACCCATGTTTTGCCATATTTGTTACAATTCTAATCATTTTTTTACATTATGTTTCTACCGTCTCTGTGAAATCGCTAAAGAGATAACGTTAACAAATTGAAATGCAAATACGTAACATTGTATCATCAAATTATCCTCATGCTAGGACTTTCCTGGCATACGTATTGGTTTACAACTCCCATCTCGGAAACTACTAGTTCAGCATGCTCTGTTTTTTTTAATATAAAAAACTTTTACAAAAATAAGCATTTTTTGGCAAATTATAATGAACATAATAGGAGTGATAAACTGATAATGTGAATTGTTTTTTCATTCACAATTAGTTTAACTGAGTTTAAGAAATATATCAACTGTCTAAACAAGTCGCTTTTCTAAAACTATGCTAAAAACAATAATACCTCCTAAATAAAGTCTCACATGTATTTTTTTAACTGACCATAATTGTGGAGAACAACAAATAAAGTTAGGGATTGTACAAGACAAGGCCACCGAGGGATTACACATCTTGGTGAAGGTCCAACTGTCCAAGCCATCTTTTAGTTTTAGAGAGTAGTCTTAGATTGTATTTTTGTTGAGGAATGGGAGGGGGCTGAGGGGAATACGGGATGGGGGAAGCACTTTCGTGTTCTGTTTCAGAAAAGACTTGCATTAGAGTGATCTGGCGTGAAGGGAAGGACAACATAAGCACCTCCGACCAGAAAAACTTAACCAAACTAAGGGAGATGAGCATTTTCCTCTACCTGTACAAGAACCTCAAAGGCTCAAACCAAAGGTGCATGTTTGTGGCACAATTAGATGAAATCATGAAATATAGATAACCTATGAAGCGCGGATACTTCCCTAGGGTAGCGTATCGGCGTATCGGATACGTTCCCGTATCCGATACTCTAGGATACCCGTACCGTACGTTCCCGGGCCGTATCTGTAATTTTTAAAAGTTTCCATTTTTTTTTGTAATTTTTTGAAAGTTTCCGATACTCGTATCCTGACGGATACCCGTATCAACTTTTTTGAATAAAAAAAACCCAAAATTTGAGGATCCTGAATCTATTGCAAGCAGATATTACATGGAACCTAAGAAGTGGTGGGCATGCTTTGGTTCTAATGCACCTTTTCTTCAAAAATTAGCTTTCAAAATACTAGGACAACCTACTTCATCATCCATCATGCTCAGAAAGGAATTGGAGTTCTTAATCTTTTATTAATCCATTTAGAAGAAACAAACTGCTTCCAAAGCGAGCGAAGGATTTGGTATTTGTTCATAACAATCTTCGTCTTTTATCACGAGCTTCTAAGCAGTATATGTTTTTAAAATATTGTTTTCTATCTTAATTATTCTAGAACTTTGGTACTTGCACTTTTAATTTCAAGATTGTGGTTGTTTGACTTATTTCTCATTTTAAATTAATGACTTATCGACTACATGTCTACATTTATATTTCGAGATGCACTAGTGTATATGAGAAATATTATGATGTATATGTAATGAATGGGTATATATGTATATATAGGATATATATATCCAAAATTTTTTTTTTTGTATATTTCATAGGATATTATATGTATATATTTCCAAAAAAAATCTATTTTTAATATTTATAAATACATCCCTGTAACTTTTAATATTTGTAAATACACCCCCATAACTTTTAATATTTATAAATATGGCCCCGTATCCGTATCCTACTTTTTTTTGTTTTGCCGTATCCCCGCACCCGTGTCCGCGTTTCTGCGATTCCGCGTACCGGTATCGGTGCTACATAGTAGATAACAGATCAAATGATAGATGGGAGACAAAGATGAAAAGAGACTTTCTTATGCATTTCTTTTCACCAACCAGAAAACACTAATCTTTTGCTAAATGGTAGATGAAATTACATCATTGCTAAACATAGGCCTAGTTTCAGGCATATGGAGAGGGCAGTATACTTCATATTTGTTCTCCTTCCCTTTACATATACTCACTCATCTTTACTTTCCTAGTATTCTACCAAAAACTGTACTTCAGAATGTAGTTACCCAAAAATGAAGAACAGTTTTAAGTACAAAAGTTGATAGATTGAAAAGGGTACATGCTTGTACTCCTCTAACTTACTGCTGCTGACTTCAGTTACACAAGAGACCTATTCCATCTAAGGTTCTCTCCTCACACATAATCTTCATTAACCAAAATCAGCAATCCTTTCCACATCTAACTCAGGAAAAAGAGTTAGCAAAAATTGTTTACCAATGGAAATTTATCTGAAAAGAAAAGAGCATCGCTGCAAATTAAACAACTAACCAACCAATAAGAATAAGAAGAATGTAATAATCATAATAGTAAAACAAAAGAATAAAATGTGGGTGGTATTTAGATTAGTACACCAACAACATCCAAGCCTTAATCCCAAAAGAATCTGGGTGGTATTTAGATTAGTAACTGAACTAATTCAAGGGGTGAACCCATGCTAAGATAAACAGTTTACCAGACGGCAATATGACTCTTTATTTGAGTTTGGTAATAATTATACATGTTCAATCAGCAACTAGTGGGAAAAAATTGTACAATAACAAATCAAGTTACAACACTTACTCTCAAAGAGTACTAAAAGGTAGGTTTGTTCCCATTGATATTTGATACACAAATCAGACACCTGGCAACTTGGATAAATTTCCTTCAGTGTGCACGCCCACCCACCCCTTCACGGCCTCCCTCATTAAGATAACCAAAAGAACAAGGTGTCGGAGCAATGAAATGGACTGCTTAGGTTAGAAACAACAACAAGAATCCAAAATGCAGAAACATTGAATGGTCCTACCTACCATACAAGCTGATTGAATATGATGCATCACTGGGCGCTCTTCTTTCCATGATGACCATAGTAACTTAGGTACCATCTAACGAATTTCTTTAAACCGGTCTGCAGATCGGTCATAGGCTCGTACCCAAACTCCCTTTGTGCCAAGCTGATATTTGCATGTGTGAACTGCACATCCCCATTCCTCGGAAGCTTCATTATTTGCCGTTTTGCCTTAACCTTTAGAGACCTCTCTAAAATGCTAACAAGCTCCGAAACCGGCACGGGTGATTTGTTCCCCAGATTAAAGACACGCAATTGAGCAGGCCCCTTCTTCTTCCCTCCACTTCCTGTGCTCTTCTTGGCAGTATCCAGTGCCCCCAAACAACCCTTCACTATGTCATCTATGTAGGTGAAGTCCCTAGCAACCGTCCCATGATCCGGAGCCTCAAATATGGGAATTGACTTCCCTTTCAATATATCCTTTGTGAAGAAGAAATAAGCCATGTCTGGCCTCCCCCACGGTCCATAAACGGTGAAAAATCTCAATCCGGTCAATGAAAGCCCGTAGATATGGTTATACGTGTGGGCGATCTCCTCTCCAGCTTTCTTGGTTGCCGCATAGAGACTGGCGGGCTGGTCTGTCCTGTCCTTTTCTGAAAAGGGCACCTTAGTGTTCAACCCATAAACAGAACTGGATGATGCCCAAACTATAGCAGGCTGAGGATCCACACTCTTGCAAACCTCTAGAAGACTAACGAAGCCTGCAATGTTGCTGTGGACATAGGAGCTAGGATTTTGCATAGCATACCGAACGCCTGCTTGAGCTGCCAAATGCATCACGTGGGTGAACTGGACAATGTCGAAAAGCTTCTTCAACAGGGCAGAATCATTAATGTCGGCTTCCACAATGAGGACACCTGTGCGCTCTAGCAGAGCTTGGCGGGCTCTTTTCAATGACGGGTCATAGTAATCATTGAAGTTATCAAGACCCAAGACGCCGTCTCCCCTCCGTTTGAGGGAGGCCGAGACGTGGGTTCCCACAAAACCAGCAGCCCCTGTGACCAGAACGCATATGCCATTTCTGGATCTGACCTTTGCAGAGGCCCTAATCCTCTTCTCCCAGGCTGGACCACCGTAGGAGCTGGTTCTGAGAGACCTCCTGGAGAGATCTGATGGCACGGGCGTAGAAGAAGAAGACGAAGGTGATTTGAAGAAGAAAACATAAATCAATCCCAAGAAGACACATGACCAGAAGGTGAGCTTGGCTAGGGATGATTGGAACCTAGACCTGTTGTACTTGAACTTCCCAGGAGCAGATGGAATGCTGTCAATGTGCTTCATCTGGGAGATGTGTTAATGGTAATCTTGAAGGTTCGAGGAACACCCACTTTGGATTGCTCTCACACTGTATCGGATATCAAAGCAATCCTGAATTTGCTGGGCAAACGCCTAGGGTTTGGGGCGGGACATGTAAAAATCTTACCTTTAAAAAGAATAAAAACAAATATTGGTATAATATCTTGGTTTGAATGAATGAACGGGTTGTTGGAGGCGGCAACCGAGAAAAGGGGATGAAAGTAGAGACGGAGGCTGGCGCTGAAAGGCGGGGCGGGTGAAAGTGTATGGAGCTTCTGGTGCTTTATTTGTGGGGAACTTCTCGTTTCTTGGGGCGACTGGTTGTTGGTGACTTGGTGGTGGGAGGTGGTGGTGTTTGCTTGGGATTGTTTTTCTTTGGTTCTACAGTAGAAAAGATTGACGATTGATGAAGGAAATGGGTGATTGAAGAGAAAAAAGAAAGTGTGGGAGAGAGAGATTTGAGGAGTGGACTTAATGGGTGGGAGAAAGAACTGCGGAGAAATCGGAAAAATGGTAAACAAACACAAATAAAATACCATGGACTCACTCACCAGTCACCGCTGAGAGATCAAGAAGCCGGTCAACAGAGAATGGTTTCATTTTTCTCCCGTCAGCGTATTGTTTATTTCTTAGGTAGACATAATTTGTACACAAATTGCATATAGAGTTGTGTATAATTCGTATACTAATTGTGTGTACAACAATAGTTTTTCAAACATTCACCATTCCCACCCAAGGTGAATTTTCCTCCGATGGTATTGTGAGCTGTTTGGTAACACTGTTTTTCGCTTTATCAAGTTTATCAATCAGTTTTTTCATCAAACACGCAATTTTTACTTCCGCACGCTGAATTGTGTACAGGGCCGTCTCCAGGAATTTTGGTGTTCCAGACAAAAAATAACTAATGATATCAAATTGTACTTCAAATTAATAACATAATTAAATATGAAATAATTTGAAAATTATACATCATTTTTTACTAAATGTAAAAAGAAATACCTGATTTAAAATTGATGTAAAGTATGTAAAAATATAAATTCTTCAAAGAAATAAATAAAATTATAAAAGTACTACCTAATAACATATTCTTCTTGGTTTTTGATGTTCAAATTTGTAAGTACATCACCACAATCAAGAGTAGATAACACTTTTTTCACCATTTGCAAGCACCGAGTTTAGTGTTTGTCACTAAAACTCCGTCTTTTATCAACGAGGTAATCATCATGATCAGTAATTCTTATTGGGCCAGTTTATTCTATATATATAGGAAAATTCTCAGGTCCGAAAGTTCGGACCTGAGGCGCCGTCCGAACACCGCCGTTTAGGGTGGTTCCCGGTAGAATTTTTCGATGTAATTTTTATTGTATGTTATGCATCAAGTCTAGTTTATTCACAAAAAAAAAATCAGCTCAAAACTCGATCCGGAAGGCCGTCAAATAATTTTTGGAAGTTGACTGCGTTTTTCTATGTATAATTTTGCGCAGTTAATTTCCAAAAATGATTTGACAGCCTTCCTTGTATGATTTTAAGCTGAATTTTTTTGTGGATAAACTAGACTTGATGAAGAACATACCATAAAAATTTCATCAAAAAATTCCATCGGGAACCGCCCTGAAAGGCGTTGTTCGGACGGCGTTCGGACCAAAACCTGTTGGACAGGAGAATGATGCCCCCTTGGGAGTAGTGCCCTAGGCCACTGCCTAGGTGCCTACCCCCTATGGCCGGCCCTGATTGTGTAATAAGCAGAAAAAGTAAGGTTGAAGTTACTTTTCTGGCTGTATTGGCTGAAGTACCGTAGATGATCATTTTAGCTATTTTTAAATATAATTTTTTCCTTATTTTATTAATAAAATATATTTTAAAATTAATTTTTTCTTAAATCAGCAGAATCAGCCAATGCAACCACTTCAGTCAGAACTTCATAAATTTTAGCAGAATCAACCAAATCAGCCGATTTTCGTTCTACCAAACGGGCTCTCTATTAATTTCGCAGGTGTGCAGTAACTCTTATGGCCTCGGTATTTACCATTAGTGGCCACAAAAGTTCTTAAAAAATAACTGAATCAAAAGTTTAAAATTGAGAAACTTCTTAAATGGGACTAAAACATGATAAATTCATAAATAGAATTATCAATCTTTTATTCTCATTCACTCCTAATTTGGAAATTTTAACCAAATTATTCTTTCGATATGATTAAATAAGTCATATTTAGGGAATAAAACATGTTTAATGCTATTTTTGAACTTTGCGTGTGTTTTGGTCCTATATTGAGCAGTTTCTATTAAAAAATCAATCATTCTTTTGGTCAATCTTGTTGTTTTTTACCACAATTTGTAGTATGATTGTACAATTAACCGTCAGAGAGATGTATAGGTTCAAGGTACAATTTTAATTTATTTTGATTGATAAGGTGAAAAATGGAAAAAAATATTATCATTCTATAGTTAATTAACCGCCCTCCTCCCCACTCAATTTTGCCAACTATTCTTTCTTGTTTGTTTCAAAATGCTTGTGATTTTTCCTTTTAAAATAATGAATTTGTAGTTTTACTTGGTTTAACTTTCTCTCCTCTGCACAAATTGCAATTACAAAACTTTTATTTTTCTTATTTCTCACTTACTTTGAAGTCGCCAAATTCCATCGGGGTGAAGGTAATAATACTTTGAGTAATGCCTATGGTATTTGAGCAACTAGGGTTAAAAAATGATACTATGTAAAGAGCGCGAATTGATGACATGTTCGAAAATTTGTTGTATTGATATACTTGTGTCAAAAGAGGAAAATGACAAATGTAGAATTAATACTCCGTAGAACACACTAATTAGTCCATCTATTCTATATGTGTTGAAATATATTGAATTAGTCATCTTCCAACTATTCCTGATTAGGAATACTTATCACCATTGTATAAATAATTAGGAAATCATAATTATGATTCTAGATGATAATTGTGTGGTTCACAATTATCCTCTAATCCTAATAAGCTTAGCTTTTCTCCTATAAATAGGAGTCTTCTCCATTGTAATCAACACACCTTCATTACACCATTATCACACTCTCTAATACACCTCTATCACTAAGTGTTCTACTATACTTTCTCTCCCTGATCTTCTGCTCATTTCCTTCCATATTATAACACGTTATCAGCACGAATTTGCTCCAAATCCCTGATATCATCATCTTCCCAGCAGGTATATATTTCTACGAATTTATCAACTTATATGAAGAAAAAAATCAGAGGATGAGAAATATAAACATGTATAGATATATTCAAAACTATAAGAAGTATGCTCTATGGTTGCCCAACCGTTGGGATCCTCCATATCAGAAAAGTATAGTTATATTTTCTGTAAAAGAAATTGAAGAAGGCAAAAGATAAATCTACTTTGCATCAATATGTTCTTCAAATTCCTAATATATATAAATATATAATTATAAACTACGTACGTATATTAAAAGTAATAGACATACCTTTGTTGAATATATATTTAAGCTTATTTGATCGAAGAACTACTAACAATATGTAAAATCTGTTTTTCTTGAATGTGAAGTGATAAAAAAAAACATCAACTAATGAATGATGGAACTAATTAAGGCTCGTAATTATCTACATGCTCGAACTAAGAAATAGATGCTTAGTAAATAATAAAAAACTTTGTGAAGATTTCTGGAACAAACTAAAATGAAAGATGGAGTAAGAGAAAATATGATGTAGAAGAGATAGCCCAGCTCTCTATATAAACTATAATTATACGTTGATATTTACTTTATAAAAAATGGGTTGAAAACTCACATACAAAAGAGATAGCCCAACAAAAGAGATAGCCCAGCATGTATATTACGGAGTACATGAAAGATGGGTTATCAACGTACATCATACAGCTGGTAGATGTCAATCACGGGCCATACAAATAGATAAGAGCATTTATTTTACTTGTCTCCTTCCTTTGTGAGGAAACTCACATAATTGATACGGAGTATAATAAATACATACTTCATATATGTGAGGATATAATTTAGATGAAATAATTTTCTACTTTCTCAGTAGTCGGACCAACATGATTTTGTTTCTATATGACAATTAATTATGGCCGGACTGCTAAAACAATTTCACCTAATAATAATAATAATAATAACAAAAGTAATAAATTTAATCTCTCTTGCTAAAAAAAACAATAACTACTTGGAGCAACTTAATCGATGTGATATTTAATAAAATTCATTTTATAGAATGAATACATAATATTTATATTTACTCCTACTAATTAAACTTGAATTTATAATTTGTGTAGTAGATTATGGCACACATTAGCAAAAGAGAGTTTGACGTCCTTGATTTATCTGGCCAAAAATATTTGGAATGGAAAGTCGACGCTTTGGCACATTTAAAAGCAAATGCCCTCGAAAACACAATTGCTGAAAATAATTCAGCTACTCCCCAAAATAAGGCAAAAGCCATTATCTTTCTTCGTCACCATCTTCATGAAAGTTTGAAGTCTGAGTATTTATTGGTAGATGACCCTAAAGAATTATGGGATAATCTCCAAGAAAGGTATGGCCATCAACAAAAGGTCCTTTTACCAAAAGCTCAATATGACTGGATCAATTTACGATTCCAGGATTACAAATCTATAAGTGACTACAATTCTGCCTTGTTCCAAATAACATCAAAATTGAAGTTATGCGGACAAAAAGTCACTGATGCCGAAATGTTGGAAAAAACTCTATCCACTATGCATCTTTCAAATATGCTTTTACAAGAGCAATATAGACAAAAGCACTTTCAAAAGTATTCTGATTTAATATCAGTATTACTACTTGCTGAGACGAATACTGACATTTTGATGAGAAACCACAATATGAGACCCACGGGTTGTAGCCCTTTTAGTTTTGGTCCACAAAATCATGGTTCAAAACATGAATCAAATGCAACCCATAGTGGTGCTCGTGGACATTTCAAACGTGGTCGTGGTATTGGTCGTTATAATGGACCTAGCCGGGGAAACAAACAGAGTAGTAGCTCTTACAAAGGCAAGGGAAAGCAAAACCCCCATCAAACAAGAGGCCCGACGAAATCTTCAGAAAAGGCTAAAGTCACTTGTTTTAAATGTGGCACGTCAGGACATTGGGCAAATAAGTGTCGCACACCTACACATTTGGTTGACTTATATAAATCATCTCTAAAAGGAAAGAATGTGGAAACTAATTACGTCAACGAAAACGTTCCACCAATGCCCACATTTAATATGTCTGATTTCTATATGGATAATAATGAGATGAACACTGACATCGTCATGGGTGAAAAATAATAATAATAAAAATGAAATTATTCTGTTATGTAATATATTCTACAATAAAAGTTTGTTGTATTGTAATTTTTATTTGATATGCTTGTTTCGGTTGTAAAAGTTATGTACATTTTAATGAATAAATTCTTGTTTATATTGCAATATTGAACTAATATTTGTTCATTTTTATTTTTTTAAAAATATGGAGTTAACTGAAATTTCTCCAAATGGCTTTGAACAATGTTTAATAGACAGTGCCACAACGCACACCATTTTGAGACATAGAGATTATTTTTCTCATATGACATTAGTTGATGCTAATGTCAATACAATCTCAGGTGTTGCTAAACTCATTGAAGGTTCTGGAATAGCCTGTGTAATTCTCTCAAAAGGGACAAAATTAATAATTAAAGACGTTTTATACTCCAGTAAATCACGGAGAAATCTTTTGAGTTTCAAAGATATGCGTCTAAATGGTTTTCACATTGAAACCATGTCTGAAAATCAAAAGGAATATTTATGTCTAACGACAAATAGATCTGGCAATAAATACATTTCAGAAAAAATGCCAGCATATTCCTCCGGACTATATTATACATATATCAGTCCAATTGAGATAAATGTGGTATCTAAAATTAATGACCACAATTCCTTTATCTTGTGGCATGACCGTTTAGGTCATCCAGGCAGCACTATGATGCACAAAATTATTCAAAATTCACTTGGACATTCATTAAATAATGTCAAAATTCCACAATCAAGTGATTTCTCATGCACAGCCTGTTCTCTTGGCAAATTAATTATCAGGCCATCTTTATACAAAATTGGAGTTGAATCTCCTGCATTTTTAGAAACAATTCAAGGAGATATTTGTGGGCCAATTGCCCCTCCGTGTGGACCCTTTCGATACTTTATGGTGCTCATTGATGCATCAACACGTTGGTCACACGTCAGTCTTTTATCGACTAGAAATTTTGCATTTGCAAATCTCCTTGCTCAAATTATTCGTTTGAGATCACAATTTCCGGATTTTTCAATAAAGAAAATCCGACTTGATAATGCAGGGGAATTTACATCCCAATCTTTTAATGACTATTGCATGTCAATTGGGATTGATGTGGAACATCCAGTTCCACATGTGCATACACAAAATGGTCTTGCTGAATCCTTAATTAAGCGATTACAATTAATTGCTAGACCATTATTGATGAAATCCAGATTACCATCATCTGCATGGGGATATGCTATAATGCATGCTGCAAATTTAATTAGGCTCAGGCCAACTGCATATCATAAATTTTCCCCATTGCAATTAATATCTGGTAAAGAACCAAATATATCACACATAAAAATATTTGGTTGTTCTGTGTATGTACCAATTGCTCCACCTTATCGTACTAAAATGGGTCCTCAAAGAAGGCTGGGAATTTATGTTGGTTTTAAATCTCCCTCAATTATTAATTATCTAGAACCTATGACTGGTGACTTATTCACCGCACGGTTCGATGACTGTCATTTTGATGAAACAGTATTCCCAGCCTTAGGGGGAGATAATAAAGAAATGGACCCACGTACGGAAGATATTACTTGGAATGCAACAGGTTTATCTTTTCTTGATTCTCGCACAAATGCTTGTGAACAAGAAATTCAAAAGATCATTCATTTACAAAGTGTTGCAAACCAATTGCCTGATGCTTTCACAGACTCAAAGAAAGTGACGAAGTCACATATTCCAGCTATGAATACTCCTTCTCGAATAGAAATTCCTGCGGAGATTAGCGAAAGAACTCTTGCTAATGAATCTATGATACGTAAAAAACGTGGTAGACCACTTGGTTCAAGAGATTTGAAACCAAGAAAATTGAAAAAGCAAGATGTAGTTTGTGATGCCAAAGAAGTTCAACCTTCTCAAGAAGGAAATGAACATTATGATAATATTGGCATTGAAGATAACATCAATAATAAGGATACCTCAAAAGAGGATCCAATCACCTTTGAAGAGGTAAATATTCCAGATACAGATAGAAACGTTGATAATTTTGAAATTTCAATCAATTACGTTTCTAATGGAATGCAATGGAATAGAAAAGATATTGATGTTAACGATATATTTTCATATGCCATCGCCACAGATATAATGAATGAACACGATGACAATGAGCCTAAATCTATTGACGAATGTCGTCGTAGAAACGATTGGCCAAAATGGAATGAAGCAATTCAGGTAGAACTAAAATCGCTAGAAAAGCGTAATGTTTTTGGACCAATTGTCCACACGCCAAAAGGCGTAAAACCTGTAGGTTTTAAATGGGTGTTTGTGCGTAAACGCAATGAGAAAAATGAAATCGTTAGATATAAAGCCCGACTTGTTGCCCAAGGTTTTTCTCAAATGCCAGGAATCAATTATGATGAGACGTATTCTCCAGTAGTTGATGCTACTACTTTACGATTTTTAATTGGCATGTCTGTTTTTGAAAGGCTGCAAATGCGGTTAATGGATGTAGTGACCGCATATTTATATGGTTCACTCGATACAAATATATATATGAGAATTCCTGGAGGCTTTAAAATACCTGATGCTTATAGCTCGAAATCTCGAGATTTATTTTCCATAAAATTGCAAAAGTCATTATATGGATTAAAACAATCTGGACGCATGTGGTATAACCGTCTAAGTGAATATTTGATTAAAGAAGGATACAAAAATGATCCTATTAGTCCATGTGTTTTCATTCAGCGATCTGAATCAGGATTCGCCATAATTGCAGTATATGTTGATGATTTGAATATAATCGGAACTTCCAATGAAATTGAAAATACTGCTAAATATCTCATGAAAGAATTTGAAATGAAAGACCTTGGGAGAACAAAATTTTGTCTCGGCATTCAAATTGAACATTTGAGAAATGGTATTTTTATCCACCAATCAAATTATACCGAGAAACTTTTGAAGCGGTTTTACATGGAAAAAGCTCACCCACTCAATTTGACGAGCACTTTGTCACGGTGCGTCAAAATAAATTTCAATACTAACACTTATACGTAGTATAGCGTAGTAGAGTTCGTATCCACAGGGAAAGGAATAATTCTCTTTTTATGATACTTAGTAAATAAAAAGGGGGGATTTGGATTGAGTGATTTAATTTAATTAAGAACTAAGATGAACAACCTATATGTGTTTAATTCAAAGAAAAAAAGGACTTGGCATTGCTACTTTCCACTTGTTGATATATTTTAGTCGATCATTGTTATATCTATAACTTATTCCCTCTCGAATACTCAATCGGGGAGTATATCCACTTCATCGAGGGTAGTTATTAACAACGACCGTTCATTAATAACCCTTACTATTAATCAAATATAGAACAACGCCTTATACCGATTTAATAGTAGCATTTAATCTTTCTAACTCCTTGATGAAATCAATTGAGATTGATAACCTCAACACAAGCGGTTTCGGTTTAACCAACAAAATTAATCCCTCTTAAGTTTATTAACCACGACCGTGCATTAATAAACCGAAGTTACTTACTTGTGAAACCATCAATGATTAACCACCGGTTCGTTGATCGTTTCTAGTAATAATTAATATATGAAACAAAACTAGTTGATCCTTTAAGTAATGTTCAAAATATTAATATGAAATAAGAGTAGGGATTAATTAATATTCAAGGAAGAATATTATTAATGAAGATGAATCCTACTATAATTAATATCAAGATGTTAACTAATTGTCATCTTAGCAACACTCCTCAATATTAATATAGAGGAAGAAAATACCATTCTAACTAATGTCGAGATGTTAACTAATTGTCATCTTAGCAACACTCCCCAACATTAATATAGAGATGGTATTAAGGAAAGAACTATTAATTAATATTCAAGGAAAGAAGTTAAGAAAATAACTCACAACTTTAATAATCAACAAGCTTCAAGAGCAACACCAAGAATGGAAGTTTAGCTCCTCATTTGGAGACTAAACATAGCTAGAAAAATATAAAGAAATTCTATTCTAAACTGAGCTAAAGAGTATGGAAGAAGGGATCATTTTTTGTGAAGAAAAAGTGTGCTATTTATAGGTGTTTTTCAACACCTTTGGCCGGGTACCCGACCGGGTCAAGTACTTACCCGACCGGGTCCGGTCAAAATCAGATAATCCGCCACGTTCTGGTGATCTTCGCACGTCGTTTTGTCTCGGGTCACATCTGACCCGACCGGGTCAAGTAGGGGACCCGACCGGGTCCAGTGACTTTCTTGGCCATTTCGTCTGTTAAATCCTACCCGACCGGGTGGGGGTTTCTACCCGGTCGGGTTTCACTCCTGGGCAGTCAAATTTCTTGTTTTCTTCTCTTCAAAGTCTTCCTTTCCAACACCACAAATCCTAACTATACTTTACAACTTATAAATGAGAATTAAAATACGATTACAACTAAAATCACACAAATGTTTACAAACTAAATAAAACGGTAAACAATACACACAAATCAATCATAAAAATATACATTTATGCACTACTAATTAGTGCATATCACAATTCCCCGATGGTGGTTCGATCTCTCAATGTGCATGATGATCCTTTTCGACCTTGTGAAGATGATGAAGAAATCCTTGGTCCCGAAATACCATATTTGAGTGCTATTGGAGCGTTAATGTATTTGGCTAATAATACACGACCAGATATTGCTTTTTCTGTAAATTTATTAGCCAGGTACAATTCTTCTCCGACAAGAAGACATTGGAATGGCGTCAAACATATATTCCGCTATCTCAATGGTACAATCGATCTTGGATTGTATTTCAAGAATGGTGCAAATGCCACTTTAATTGGCTATGCCGATGCAGGATACTTGTCTGACCCACAAAAGGCAAAATCACAAACAGGATATGTATTCACCTATGGTGATACCGCTATCTCATGGAGATCAATGAAGCAAACATTAACTGCCACATCATCAAATCATGCAGAATTAATTGCTCTTTATGAAGCAGGTCGAGAATGTGTCTGGTTGAGATCAATGATCCAGCACATACAAAATGAATGTGGTATAAAATCTTTTACTTGTAATCCTACTGTGATTTATGAAGATAACACAGCATGTATAGCTCAGATCAAAGGAGGTTACATCAAAGGGGATAGAACAAAGCATATAGCACCAAAACTTTTCTCCACACATGATCTTGAGAAAGAAGGAACAGTTGATGTCAAACAAATCAAGTCCTGCGACAACCCTGCTGATTTATTCACAAAGTCATTAGCACCGAAGAAATTTGAAGAACTGGTCCACAAAATTGGAATGTGTCATCTTCGAGATATATGTTAAATTGAGGGGGAGTAATATAATGCACTGCACTCTTTTTCCCTTCGCCAGGATTTTATCCCACTGGGTTTTTCCTGACAAAGGTTTTTAACGAGACAGTACATTATAATACTATGATACTAATACCCTAGAATAATTAGAAGATGACCATTCAAGGGGGAGTGTTGAAATATATTGAATTAGTCATCTTCCAACTATTCCTGATTAGGAATACTTATCACCATTGTATAAATAATTAGGAAATCATAATTATGATTCTAGATGATAATTGTGTGGTTCTCAATTATCCTCTAATCCTAATAAGCTTAGCTTTTCTCCTATAAATAGGAGTCTTCTCCATTGTAATCAACACACCTTCATTACACCATTATCACACTCTCTAATACACCTCTATCACTAAGTGTTCTACTATACTTTCTCTCCCTGATCTTCTGCTCATTTCCTTCCATATTATAACAATATGATCTATTCTAATTCAACGCTATTTTTATAAGACCTAATATTTTTGAGCAAATGATGAAAATGTAATGAACTCATATTATATTGAGCATACATGATTTATTGTGAGAGAAGAACAATACTTTCAAGATTGAAAATTTACATTATTAGAGATTTTTGGAGTTGGAAATTTTACATTGTTAAATAATTTTCATGGTTGTTCGGATTTAAAAGTACATTTTTGTTGTTTCAAACTATAAATGCATATTTTTACCATAACAAAGATCTAACTCATGCTTATTTTCACTAAGGATAAGGTTACTAAACGATGCTTATTAAGACTCGCGTTAATAAGCAGCGCATAAAATAAGCAGTGCTGTAAGATCACGTTTACTTCAAAGGATAAAAGTATCGTTTAACATTAAAATGTCCAAAATAAACCTATATAATATAATAAACACACAAACATTCATGTACACAAGTATATAATATAATACGTGGGGGTCACCCCGTGCGTATCCGTTACCCCTAACCCCTACCCCACCTCACCCCTACCCCTACCACGACCTTATCCCCTACTCTTACTCCCCTACCCACACCCTTGCCCCCTATCCCGTAGCTACCTTGATCACTATGTTCATACTCGTACCCCCACCTTAGGGGCGGGTAAGGGTAAGGATAGGGTACATGTCTGGTAGGGGTAAGGTGGGGTAGGTAGGGCCGTAGGGGTAGGAGTAGTGTATCGAGGGGTATGGTCGTGGTAGGGGTAGGCAAGATTAGGGGTTAGGAGTGGGTGGGTACCCCACGAGTCTTACTAACAAACACAGACACTACACTTACAAGTTGTCTATCAAATAGACAACCCCTTTTATTTCGAAAACACACAAAAAGAACACTAGTAAATGAAATACATGAAACACAATTGGATTAAGAAAGCACATAAATATTTAAGGGAGACATATAAACTACATTTCATTTCCATGGTGCCTCCACATGTGGTTTATGAGATCACTTTTGAGCGATGTGAGCACCGAGGAGTCTCAAATTCGCACTACTAATGATTTTTTTTTACATCGGAATGTGCTTTTTTTATTTTATAATTAATCAGAGAAAAAATTAAAAGAAAAACATTTCTTCTAATAATTTAATTAATGTTTTACTAAATTGATATGTAAAAAAATGCGCAGAGTGTATTGTATTAATGGTGCTGTAATATAGAGAAATACTACCTCCGTCCCTTAAAACTTTGCCAAAGTTGACCGGCACGGAGAATAATAAAGTAAAAACTGTGTGGTTGAGGTTTGTGCAGAGGAGAGAGAAATAACAGAAACCACAAAATAATTGATTAAAAGGGAAAGTGGTAAAGTTTTTTGGGACGTCCCAAAAAGGAAAGATGGCAAAGTTTTAAGGGACGGAGGGAGTATGAGTCAAAACACTATTTTCGTATGAAAGATGTCCATTTTTGACATTTTAGTCTCTCACGTCCCTCCAAATGGTCTAATTATAGAAAAATTGATACTTAGGTGACTAGCGCCATCTGTCCAAACACAGGCTAAGCTTACGAGTGCCGGGAATTTAGCAGCTGATTTAACGCCGGAAACTGTGTTGAGCCTCTCTGGAATGTACCCGCCGGAAACTGGTGGCAGTTAATCATAAACGACAACCCAAGTTAAATGCCTCTCAGTTTTTGCAGACTTCCGATCACACTCCACCACAGCCACAGCCGGCTCCCCGCCGCCGTTGCGTCCGCCACCCATAAAGTAATCCCAATCCACTCTATGTCCTCCTCATCTTCAGAATCCCCTTCTCTAACAGGAGAACCAGAGCAGCCGGAAGCTAAAGAAGCATCCATTGCTCAAGTGTTGAGATACCACAACCAGACCAAGCACTCCTTCAACAACTACGCCCGCGGCCCTCGCGGCCTAGACTGGGCAAACCAGCCGAACCCTTTCCGCCGCTACGATTCATCCCCACTCGTCCCCCTCCTGCATCCTCCCTCACCTTGCCCCAATGAACCCCCTCTCTACGCCGAGGTCTTCACTTCTCTCCCATCTCCAAAGTCGGTTTCCCTCTCAACTATCTCCCGCCTTTTCTACGATTCTCTCGCCTTATCAGCCTGGAAAACCACCGGGGTTTCGACTTGGTCCCTCCGCGTAAACCCTAGCAGTGGGAACCTGCATCCGACTGAGGCTTATCTCATATCTCCTCCAATCGAGTCCGTTTGCTCTCACAGTTTTGTCGCCCACTATGCTCCAAAAGAGCATTCTCTGGAAATTAGAGCACACGTGCCCTTTGAATCCTTCGGTCAAGTATTACCCAAGAACTCCTTTCTTGTGGGGTTGTCCTCGATTTTTTGGAGGGAGGCGTGGAAGTATGGCGAACGGGCCTTTAGGTACTGTAATCATGACGTGGGGCATGCCATTGCTGCAGTTGCTATGGCTGCAGCTGGGCTAGGGTGGGATGTCAAGGTTCTTGATGGATTAGGCTACTCAGAGTTGGAGAAATTGATGGGGCTTGATTGTTTTCCATGGTTCACTATTCCAGATACACGAGTGAAAGGTAGGATGCCTGAAATTGAATTTGAGCATCCCGATTGTGTTCTTTTGGTTTTCCCATGTGGATCACTTAAATATAATCTGGATTACGACAAGTTGGTTTCTGCTATTTCGGAGTTGTCTAATGTGGAGTGGAAGGGTAAGCCTAATTCTCTTAGTAAAGAACATGTTTGTTGGGACATTATATATAGAACTGCCGAAGCTGTAAAAAAGCCAGTTACAATGTTGACCGGGTCGATCATAGATCCCTTTCAGAGTAGTGGGGTTCTTAGTGAAAGTTGTTACATGGGATGTAGTTTGAGAGATGTGATAAGGAAAAGAAGAAGCGCGGTTGATATGGATGGCTGTACTAGTATAGCAAAAGAAACATTCTATCAAATCTTATTGCATTGTATGCCTTCAGGTTCTGGATGGGGAGATAAGCACAGAAGGCAATTGGCATTGCCATTTAGGGCCCTTTGTTGGGAATGTGAAGTGCATGCGGCTCTTTTTGTCCACAGGGTTGTGGGCTTGCCTAGTGGCATGTACTTCTTAGTGAGGAATGAGAATCACTTGGATGCACTTAGGAAGGCTACTAGGTCAGGATTCAAATGGGAGAAACCAGAGGGATGCCCCAATGGTCTTCCTCTATATGAGCTTGCTAGAGGAGACTGTCAGGAACTCTCAAAACAGCTCTCGTGCCATCAGGTATGTTTGACGGTCAATTGAAGTTCATTTAATGCCACCTTCCAATAACCAGGACAGGGTAACTTCTTTTTGTTTTGTTTCTTTTCATCATCATCATCATCATTACCCCAGTGCCGCAAAGGCTCCCTCCTACGGTAGGGTAGGGGGGTCGGATGTATGCAGTTTTACCATCTGCATTGCTTCTTCCCAGATAGGGCTCTGAGTCTCTGAGTGATTATTGATCAATAGAGTGATAGTGCATTAGTAACCCCGGAAAAGAAGAGTAGTTTAAGATATTTGCAAGGTGATTTTAAAATCTCATTAGTCATTTACATAAATTAACAACAATGTAATTTTAGATAACTATAGTGTCTGTCTATCATGCTGTTGCAATTATAGCCTTATAGGTTTGTATTTGTTATTTGTGTATTTTTCATATGAGAAGACTGGAAAACATGTACACATTTGCTTAACCATGTAAATATGTATGAATAGGACATTGCTAGTGATGGCTGCTTCAGCCTTGGTATGATAGCTCACTTTGAGCCCATTTTGGGGGAAAAGAGAGCCTGGATGTATCCTCGGTTATTTTGGGAGACTGGAGTTCTTGGCCATGTTTTATACCTTGAGGCCCATGCAGTTGGCATTTCTGCTACTGGAATTGGTTGCTTCTTTGATGATCCTGGTATATTCTCCTCTCTTTAACTCAACCTTCTCTCCCCCTCCCCCACCCTTACCCCCAACATTTTCTCGTTTTCTTTTGATGCTTTAAGAGTACTATGCAAACTCAGGGCTGTTTAATATCCTGAATCTCAGCACAAGCTTAATTTTATTGTAAACTGTGTGTAATAGGATCCATTTGGAACTCGAAAAACACCAAGGATATAAAATGAGGAAAGTAGAGGGAAAATTTGGAAGGAAACAAAATGTGAAGTTAAATAAAGAATTGCTTCAAACTCAATCCTAATCAATTTTGAGTATTTGTTCCTTGTCTTTTTAAGTTTTTATTGATACACCTCTACTATGGATGAACAAAAAAAATGGTAAAGCGAAATGTACCGACAAGCCTACCGAAACCGAACCAATGAAAACAGGACCAATCAAATCTGAACTGACGAAAAGTGACCAAATCATATGTGTGTTGGTTCACGGTTTGAGGTTTACACATAAAAGCTAACCGAATAGACCAAAACCGAGTGAAATTGACGATTCTTGGATTAAAGGTCTCTTTGTATTAACACATCCGTGGGGATACAATTGAGTAATTAAGCGTTTTACAATTTGAGAACTAATTTTTTTTGCATATCCTATATTTTCAGGAGAAATTAACCTGACTGTTTATTTTGTTGTGTGATGAATAAAGTCTTAATCAAGTAAAATAATCAATTCAAGGTTATCATTTGGTTATAATGCCAATGAGTAATGTCACTTATGAACGTACATCTAGTCCATAGTGGGTTTAAATAAATTGGCTAAATAGACATCTCAATATGAGTATTAATGAGAAGGAGCATGTCACGACTTAATGGTTACGCCGGTTTCAGGATAAATTAATAAGACATGTTTTCAATTAAGCCGTAAGTAAACATGAGTTAATGACTGAATTATTAAGTCACTCTCTCGATTAAGTCTATTAAGACACAAATATACAGCCCCTAAGATATCTATATATATGTGAATATGTATATCAAATATCACTTAAATATCAATCAAGTTAATCCCTAAATTTATGCCTAGACATCTGTCTAGAATCCATGCGAATGAGATCGCCAATTTGCTCCCTATTTTCTGTGTTTAGT